ACTCATATTCAAATATTGGCATGTTAATAATTGTTTACTATGTGAATTAAGCATAGATATTGTAATAATATTGTATTGTCAGATTGATTATTATATTGTTCATCATGTCAAAAACTTTGCAGTATGATTGATTTGTAAGAATTTTTTGAAGTTGGAAGTGAAAACTTAAAAATTTGTCAGACAAACTTTTCTGAAATTGAAGACGGACCCAGCATTTCAAAATATGGTGGGCTAGATTTACCTTATTGGATTGTTAGATTTTAAGCTCGGTTAAGGGAGGCTTATGGAATTGATCATAAATATATATAAATTTAATTTGAGAACATATCATTTTTATTTCATTTGTTTAAAAGGCCTATTTTACAATAACAATGCCAGCAACTTTTCATCATATATGCTTAAACATTAACACTAACTACAAGAAAATAAAAAAACTAACCTGGGCCCAGGTTGTACATAGCATATGTCCGTCCCCAATGCAAATGGATAGTTAATCCCGGCTTTAATACATATTGTCCAATTTGTACAGCTGTGGAGCTCATTCTTCTAAAACTGTTTTTTTTTTTTTTTGTCATGGCAGGAGCCAGGGAGCTCTATGAGCATGGCGTTTAAGGGTCTTCTGGTTGCAATTTGTATTTGGGTTTGGTCAGGCTCCTTGGCTGCTGCAATATCCAATGATGGGCTACTGAGAATTGGTCTCAAGAAGCAGCCTTTAGGCCTCAACAGATTGAATGCTGCAAGAATCACCAAGACAGAAGTTTCTCAACCTAGAGGTCTGGGGGATGTAAATATTAACTCCAATAATCTTAAATCTAATATTGTATATCTTAAAAATTACTTTGATACCCAATATTATGGCGAGATTGCTATTGGTTCTCCCCCACAATACTTGGCCGTTGTCTTTGATACTGGCAGCTCCAATCTTTGGGTCCCATCTTCAAGGTGCATCTTTTCTGTAAGTATTGCAGTGAATTATCAAAATGCTTTGAATCTATGGTGTTATTAGAGTTTTGAGTAGTTTCTAAAGTGTGACTGTATGCAGATTGCTTGTTACTTTCATTCAAAATACAGGGCAAGCATATCGAGTACCTACACCAAAATTGGTAATCTTTCCTATCCCTTACATTTGAGTATGCATCTATCTGACCCCTTTGTTTAATTTTATAATTGACACAGAAGATTTCTTGTGGGAAATTTTTGATAGAATCAAACTCAAAATTACTTTGTGTTATTATTTAGGAATACCCTGCAAAATTCCTTATGGCTCTGGTTCCATTTCCGGCTACTTCAGTGGGGACAACGTTAAAATTGGGGATGTGATCATCAAAGATCAAGTAGTTCTCTTTCTCTATTTCCATTTTGGTTTATCTAAAGTTTTTTTTGTTTACATATATTCTTTTTCCAATTTGTTGATGCTATGTCTGGTTTCCATCCTATAGGAATTTGTTGAGGTTACAAGGGAAGGAGTCCTTACATTCTTAGCTACACGGTTTGATGGGGTCCTTGGACTTGGATTTCAGGATATTTCTGTTGGCGAAGCCACACCAGTGTGGTATGTTTCTGGCATAAACTGCTTAAACCTGATATATCTTTAACTAGCTCTTAGTCTAGTCGTACTTTTCATCTTAGCGTTGGAACTTGGATTAGATCTCATATTTGAATCCCCACTCCCGGCTGATTAAAAATATAAATTGATGGCTTAAAAGCATGAGTTAGTTTTCTGGGTGCAGGTATAACATGGTGCAACAAGGTCATATGAGCCAGCAAATTTTCTCTATCTGGCTAAATCATGATCCAACATCAAGGGTGGGAGGTGAGATCGTCTTTGGTGGATTTGATTGGAGGCACTTTACGGGTGATCACACCTATGTCCCGATTTCAAAAAAGGGTTACTGGCAGGTTTATTATAACAAAAAGAAGTTGGTGTTCCTCTCTAATATATTTTTCTTGCCAAATGAGATGACATTTGATTCAGTTTTGTTTATCTCTCCAGATTGATGTTGGAGATGTTATTGTTGCAGACAATTCCACAGGTTCTACTACATTTCCACTCCTATGTTGTTTAACTACCTTTATTCTATGTTTAGAGATTAAATTTGCTGCTTGGTGAGTCAAGGAATTCATGTACATGTCTGGTCTTGACAAGCCAAAAATTCTCCCTAAAACATATGTAGAGGCCTAAAAAAAACCAAATAACTTGATTCTGTTTTTATTCAATTTACAATCATATGACCTGAAAGTTTAAAATTTTCAGGACTATGCAAGGGTGGCTGTGCTGCCATTGTGGACTCAGGAACATCCTTCCTTGCTGGTCCAACTGTATAAACTCATGCTTAAAACTTCAGACTTTGAGCAGTAACAACTTGTATTCCACCCTTGATTAACTCTTCTTTTTCAGACTATAGTGGCTCAGATCAACCATGCCATTGGAGCAGATGGATATGCAAACTTGGAATGTAAAAATGTTGTTTCCACTTATGGAAATTTGATATGGGAATATCTAGTATCTGGGGTTTGTATCTTTTCCCTTTTCACTTCCTTTGCAATTCCTTTTAGGAAATGAAGAAATGCATTAGAGTTTACCTCATATGTCTGCAGGTACGGCCTGATATAGTGTGTGTGGATATCAGTCTATGTTCATATAATGGATCTCGTAATGTGAAGTTGAGACCTTTTCTTTTTCTTCCAATTTTTTTTTTTTTTAATTTTGTTCAGTTTTTTTATATCTTCATCATAATAACCATAGCATAAGGCAAAATTTACCTCTGCAGAAACTATATTGAGTCAGTGATAGAGAATGAAACTGGGAAGGAGTCATCAGTTGATGAAACTCCTCTATGTACCTTGTGTGAAATGGTTGTCTACTGGATTCAGCTGCAGCTTAAAAAGCAAATAGCAAAGGAAAAAATATTTAGCTATGTGAATGAGGTAGTTCTTCTGAAAGTATGAGGCTTGACTGATAAATATGCATACACCAAAGCTAAAAATTCTTTTGATTCTTTCCTTTCTTTGTGAATTTTTTGCGAGTAAAGTTGTGCGAGAAGCTTCCGAATCCGTTGAGAAGGTCATTTGTCAACTGTGATAACATTGCATTCATGCCAGATGTTTCATTTACAATTGGAAACAAATCCTTCACCCTCTCCCCAGAACAGGTACAGTTTTTGTTATAGCTCTTAGTCCTTCACACTTTGTAACATAAGTAGCATGGTTTTGTTAAGATATAACTCAAATGTTTAGAAAGGAACTTAATTCAACCAATTTCCTTTAGATTCACTCCATTTCTAACATGTTTTGGACTTAATGTTCAGTATATACTTAAAGTTGAAGGAAAATGTTCTATTGTCTGCCTTAGTGGATTTGTTGCTTTGGATGTGCCTCCCCCGCAAGGTCCTCTATGGTAAGTCACTATGACCTTCCTTTAGGTTCGACTTCATGATTCGTTGTGATTCTTCACCTCGCATAGGATCTTCATTCTATGGTTTATGCAAGAATGTCATGAAATTAGCACATTCTGCAGGGTTCTTGGAGCTCTGTTCTTGGGAGCATACCACACAGTGTTTGACTTTGGTAATCTCAGGGTAGGATTTGCAAAAGCTATATAATTCATAGTTTAGTAATCCTTTTATTTACCTTTGTAAATTGTTTATGCTAATACTAAAGGTATAGATAATATGGAAGCAGTAGATAGTAGAAGGGCCGTGTGTAATTGTCCGTCCATAAATAAAATGCATTCCATTTGGTTGGTATGGATTGCCAATAAGATAGCAAGAGTTGCTAAATATTTGATTCTGTTAAAATTTGTGCTGCCATCTAAGGCTAAAAGTATTTTGCTTGACCAGATTAAGCTTTACATCTTACGGTAACGAAACACTTTGTAAGAGCTCATAATAACGAGAAAACATAAGCCTTCGTTTTACTGATAGTGGATCAAACAAACAAGCATGGCTATTATCATAAGAATAATTCAACCAATATGCCAAGCTTGATGGAGTAGTAGTAGAATCCATTACTAAACAATTGGATGAACAGAAATATAAAAATGGATTACAAAATCTTGATAATGATAGCAGCATCTACTGCTCTTGAAAATAGGGGAACTGGACCTCCACAACCATTTTCATGGCTTTCACGGGGTCAATTAACCCCATTGACAACATGGTTGATTTGTCATTGGGCTCAAGCTTATGTTATGTTGCCCAAAAGGCCTCTTACAAGGAACTCCAGTTTTGCCCACACATCTATGGCACTTCACATTTGCGTCCCCGAGTGATGTACAATTGCTTAGTACTCTTGCCCCTTCTTGCCTTGTATCCTCAAGGGCTCATAAGTCTTACAATCCACTCACCCAGCGTCCTCGCGAGCAAACTTCTGGTCGGGGTCCAACTCTGATACCATTTTGTCACGACCCTATTTCACCAGCAAGATATTGTCCACTTTTGGTCTCATGGGCTCTCACGGTTATGTTCTTTAGCTCAAGCTTATGATATCTTGCCTAAAAGACTTCTTACTAAGAAGTCAAGTGCCTACACATATAAGGGACTTCACTTTTCCCTCCCCAAGAGGGCTAGGAGGTTTGCATAGTTGATTTTATTTTATTTCGGTACAAACTCATTAAATGGATGTTTTCCAAGTTTTGGGCTCGATTTGAAATCAGTTGGTCAAAGAATTGGGTGACGTTAAATTATGCAGCAACTGACAGTGGAAGGAGGTTTGCATACTTTCTTTGATTGGATTTCTGTTAAAAAATAAAAAATATAGTAAAAAGTCACCAAATAACGCCTCCCACTACATTATGATGTGTCCCAGTTTTGAGCTCGATACAAAAACAATTGGTCAAAGAATGTTTGAATATGTAGGTTCTAAGTTTTTTTTTGGAAGTTAAATTTCAAAATTACTTTTCCGCTGCGTAAGATCTGTGATGTACATAGATTATATAACTGATGGACATAGGACTAATTAGTTCTAACAATTTCTAATGTTGTTAAGATTATAGCATCAAACTCACAAAGATATAAATACGCCCGATCAAACAAGTGATGGTCGCCTACTAAATTTTCTTGGTTTCTCTTCCCACATTTAGCGTGCATATAGTCCTACCCAAAGTATCTTTAACAGAAAAAATTAATTAGAGGCTCTCCCTCTCTAAAGATTGCCCACTTCATTATGCCCTGGTGGCCAAAAAACTAAATCTAACTCCAAATGCAATCACTAAACCTATAATTTAGAGGATATAGCATTACTACTACCCCAGAAGAAAAATTTTCCAGATGAAATCTGGTGAGAAGGAAGCAAGGCCAGCCTAGCAGCAATACCCGCGGCATCATCTGCGGTGTGGTCTCCCTTACAATGAGTCATAGATGTCTGTGTGAAGCCTGGACAGAAGCTATTCACACTCAAACCCCTTCCCTCATATCGCTTTGCCAAAACTCTTGTATATGCGTTGAGTGCAAGCTTTGACACAGCATAGTCGGTCCATAATTTCGGCCACCCTTTACTCTTCCATGCGCCGCTCTTCACGTCGTTGAGAAACAAATTAACCACCCCTTCAATCTCCTCTTCCGATAGTCTTTCGCTTTTCATAACTTGTTTTATGCTAGGGTTTCTTAGCTGCTGCAAGGCCATATATATTTTATATAAATAGGGAGGAAGCAGAGATGGGTAGTGGAAAATACATGGTAATAACATCAGGACTTCCGCATAAGAGAATTTATGTATATAACTATTTATAAAACTGTTTCACTTACATTTAGTGAGCCAAGTCTGGAGCTAACGTTAAGAATCCGACTTATGGAGGAAGAGCTACGAAACATGGGCAAGAGGGCCTCAGTCAGCAATTTGGGTCCATAGAAATTGGTTTTCATCACTGTCTCCGCATGTTCTACCGAGTTTTCATTGAGATCATTAAACGACACAGCTGCGTTGTTTACCTTGAATTTTCAAAAATTGGCCCAATTTTTAGGTCAATATTATATATGTAACACTATATACATCACCGCATGTATATATATCATATTGCTAATCACTTCTCTAATACATGTGAGTCCCACATATATTAGTGCGGCCCACCTAATAGAAGTGGTCAGCGAAGTGATCAATAAATGTAAAATAATTAACTTGAAATGGTATGGTGGAGAAGAGAAAACTTAATATTACAAGAATATCCAAGGCTGCATAGCTTTTTCTGAACCAGGATGCGAATGCTCTGATTGAAGAAGGGTCCGATACATCGAGGCAAGAGAAGGCTACATTGTAAAGACCTTGGGCTCTCAGAGCCTCCACAGCTTTGCAACCCCTTTCAATGTCTCGGGCTGTTAATATGACCGTCACACCTAACTCCGCCATCCTCTTCACAAGCGCAAACCCAATGCCCTTGTTTGCACCAGTAACTATGGCTACTGTGTCCTCCGACCACCATCTTCCCCGGCCAAGAAAATTTAATAATGTCCACATTAATTCTTATTATTATTATTATCATTAAAGAAAATTACAGCACAATTTCCCTACAACATTATATTTATCATCATATTCGACAAAATAAAATGTCAATTGGTATAACTCAATTGGTTGAGCTCTTTCACCTCCACCCAAGGGCAGAGCTAGAATTGTAAAGTTAGGGGGGACGAAGTAGAAAATACCTTGGGTGAGGGTGAATATTTACATGTTTAAAGCTAAATATTTATAATTTAATCATGTCTAATTTGTTTTAGAGGGAACTAGGGGGGAGGGGGGGCAAGGGCCACTCCAGGCCTAGGAGTGGCTCCCCTCCACCCATGTGGGCACATATATTTGAAACCGACACTCCCAATGAATATTTGTATAAAACATTCACCCCCAGTCGCTTGTAAAAAAAATATAAAAAATAATGCTGAAATCACATAGAGAGATAGAGGGAGAGAGCATGTTATATTACCTGCTGGTTGGGGAGAGGGAAGGAGAAAGAAAAGAGAGCTCAGCTTCGTTGGAGTCCATAAATATGATATATGGTTGCAAATTGAAGTTGTGTGTGTTGGGGTATATGAATTGGAAGGCAGAGGAATGCGAGCAATGTGTATTTATAGATGGATGGATAGATGGAAATTAACAAAGGCAAGTGTACATGTGAATTGAGATTAATTAATAAATTAAACGGAACTTTAGGTCAATATTTTGTATACGTACTAATTCAACATGATCAATTATAATTAGGTTAGGCGTAACCCACGTTCCAATTTTATATATTTCCTTTTTGTTTAGTTTTATTAACATATGAACGTTTGCATGTGTCATCAGGCATGCTGATTCTTTTGTTTCATTATTACTGGTTATTGCATCAATAATATAACGTTAGATGAATAATAAGAAGGTTCCGAGTTCGAGTTTTAGCATTCGTGTAGTGTGTGTGAGTTTAGTATACTATCGTCCCTTTTAATAGGAAAGATCCAAAAAAAATATATTATAATAATAATAATATTATTATTATTATTATTCTAATTAAATTCGTTATTTTCTCACCCACTGGTCAACTTTGGGTTGGATCAATAATAATAAATAATGGGGAGATTGCAATTTGACCTGGGGTTCATTCAATTTGGCTTGACCATGTGAGGAAAATATTCTCCCACTAGCTTCCTCTTAGTTTCCCATAGGGTTTCAGGTGTGGAGCAAAAGGCTGTCTCGTTAACCTAATTAACAAGTTAACAACCACGTTGGTGATTTCAACATGCCAGCCTTTCTTAATTAATTTATGGTCATGCTCATATTATTCATAATATAAACTTCAAGAAAGATGGATCCAATTGCTTCAATATCCTTCCACACATACTTAAACAATATATTTTATTTTTTTATCCATACAAGTTGCTGTTAATTGTAGAATTAATGTGTTGCATCATTGCATGCTTGGAATCCATCCACACATATTAATTATTAATATTTTGCGCCGATGACAAAAGCTTAATTCGCCCTTTGTGCGGATGACAAAACCTCACGGGTGTGTTCGGTTGATGGGAAATGGGGCTTGGAAATGGAAAAATAAGAGGGAAAGCTAGCTAGGTAATTAGCTCTTTGCTTCCAAACCCTTGTTTATATATCACTAGCTGTGTTTAGGATGGGGGACCTCTCCCTAACTAGCCTTAGCTTTATTGTACCAATAGTCACCACCAAACCAACATTCTTTTATTGTATTTGATCGATGCACGTTGGAGAGTAAATTAACAGGGCAAAAGCTAACTAGCTCAATAGCTCTAGAATTAGGCGCATGTGATGTAAGCTAAAGACTAACTTTTCAATTCCATTGAGACGCCGCCATGAGATTAGAATAGTGTGTCTCCAAGGAATCATCTCTTCATTCTTTTGACTTTGATCCTATTTCCCATTTAGGGAAGAGTGGGAATCAATTCTAAATTTATGTACACCTCCCGTTTCATGCTTTTTTTTTGGGATCCAAGTTTGAATTACTCTAAAGTATAAGCAAGGGTAACGGACACACTTCCATGACTAAGTGGTATAATTCACATCACATATAGTGCCCCTATTATTTTAGGGTCAAGCTACAAATTTACAATGGTTGTTTGATGGTTCACTACAAAAAATGTTGGCAGCGATCACCTTTTGTTTTGTCACTTTTGGAGATTATTGGTCATGTTTTTCCGAGAATAAAGCCTTTAATCACGGATTATTCATAGGAAAATGTAACCAATAGTCACCCAAAAAAAAAAGTAACTATATTGCCAAAAAAATTTGTAATGGTTCTTACTCATATAGTGCCTAGGACTTGAAGGTGAACATGAAGGAAGAGGTAAATGATTTTTCATTTTGGGAGATTAAAAATAGATAAGTTATAAGGTGTTCATACTTCCGTTTAATTGCTAATAGTGGCACGCTTGCAATCTAACATTCTCCTTAAAGCCTACTCTAGGTCTTTGTTATTTTTCAGATTAAATATAGATAAAACTGAACAAGAGAAAAATTGAAAGCTTCATTAGAAGGACAAAAGGCAAAAGCCTCCACAAAGTTTAACTTTGTGGCACCAAAACTATGACAATTACTCTGCCCCAATAAGCAGATACTTCACCAATGGGGTGTTAGTTGGATTGGACTAGATTTTTGGTGTGCTTCCAAGTGGTCCTTGGTTCAAACCCCCATGATACCCGTATGTGTAAATTTTCCCCCTCGCCCTTTCTAACTTTGGAAGAAAAAAAAACCAGGGAGAGACTTTTATTACACATAGCCTAGAAGTTAAACTCAAAATGAAATTTAATAAGAGGTAGAGAAGGAAACAAAAAATCGAATAACCATTCATTCACTCATATCTCTATTTGGCATACAATACAACAACAAGACACACAATTCCACAAGAGAAGACAACGTGACAATCCAATTAAAGATAATTAAACATAACTAAGTTTAAAATTGATAAACAATTTATACTTCTACTTTCAATTAAATCTTCTAGGTTAGGTTATGATATTTGCACTAAAAACTCCTAATTTTCTTTTTTTCTCTTTCTTTTCCTCTTTTGTTTAACTTAAGTATTGTGAATTTTTTCCCCCTCCCTTTTTACATGTCTGAGTAGGGTACCTTAATATTGAAATTTATGAATTTTTTTTATAAAAAATTTTAAGAGCTTAATTTGCTAATACTATTGGCAATAACTATATACTTTTCTTCTCTCGGTTATCTTTAAGGGAGATTCACTATTATACCCAATATAGGGGCCCAAAGTATAAAAATACCCTATATGAAATGGCAGTCCCGATCTCTTGGACTACAGGGGTCCAAGAGATTTGTGGTCACTATCCGTTGGATGTAAATTCAACGACTCACTCATTCTTGCACTCCTTTTAAGAAACTTTTTTGAACTGTTAGATTAATATCCAACGGTAAGTGACCACAATCTCTCGGACACCTGTGGTCCAAGAGATCGAAACTGTATGAAATGGACTTCAAAAACACACCCAAAACTCATTTACAACATAACAAAGAGGCTTTTAACTTCTTATAAATTACAAAACTGCTATCAATTTCTTAAAACAAGCCTAACCTCAAAACCTCATTAAAAAAAAAACTCAAAATACTCAATAGGGTATCAAAGTAATTTAATAATCAAAATTAAATTTAATAGGGTCAGCTGTCATTTTTTGGGTTTTTTTTGGGATTGTTTATAGAAATTAAATGATGTAGGGTTTATCTATATTATTAGTGCTAAGAATGGGTATATGACTAAATATCTCTATTTTCTTTAATTGTGACAAATAAAAATTAACATCATTTCTAGTTTTTAGTATATTGGTACTTCGGTTCTAGGTTCGAATCTCAACTCTCCATGCAAATAAAAAAAAAAAAAAATTTGATTTGAAAGATTAGTTCGAGTTTGTTGGTTAAATTGGAATTTGGCTCTACTAAATAGTGTGAAATATGAACAGGACACGATGCTTCTCATACTAATCAGCATGGAAACAATATTCTAGAAGATGCACGACTTAATTGCTTTTGATAAAAAATAAAAAAAATTTAATACAAAACGACTTAATTGCTTAACGTGATCAAACTCTCCGATCAATGGTTGAGGGGCTGCAAGTAATAGTTGAGTCTTTGTTATTTCCACCTTCCTCACCTTACACGTGACTCATACCCCAATAATAATAATAATAATAAAGACCAAAAACAAAGATATTATTTTTATCGTAAAAAACAAAGGATATGTGGGAAACCAAGAAATTACCAGTAAAATCTTGGGCTATTAATTTTAACTTCCGACCACCTCGCTTTCAATTCTTCTGAAAATTAAAGTAAAAATAATAAAAATAATAAAAAATAAAAGAAACAGTTTGCTCTCTCAGAAAAATCCACATGAAGTCTCTTAAATGGTCCTTAAACTTATACATGAATTGCATGAAGTAAATAAATAAAATAATAATCCAAATTAGAATTTATTAATTAAATATGTATGACATGACACATACCACATCATTGGGACTCAAATTTGGGGCACAAATTTAGTTTACTTAGTATTATTGTTCTTAATATTATCTTTAACTAAGGACAATTTTTGGTATTTTGAGTGTTTTACGATTCCCTGCCCCTACCCTTATATATATGGATATTGTAACCACCACGGGTACCCCAATTCATTGCAACTTAACAAGAACCAAGACTGTTGAATCAGTAGCTAAACTGCTTTTGGGACAAAAATAACAAACACCAGAAAATCCACTCACGTTGTAATTCTCTTAAAAAATTTATGTCAAAGAGCAGCAATTGGTGGAACAATAGAAAATAAGAATTTAGATTAATAATCCTCAATAAAATTGAAATCATCAAATACAATAACAAATTTACAAATTTACATTAAATTAATGTAAATCAACAAACACAAATAGAAATACTGACAACTTTAGCGATTGAGGCTTGCAAGAATTGCAATATCCTAAAAACAGATTTCGCCCCAACCCTTGCAGTTTTTATAGGCGTCCATCTCCCAAGATTCAACAATCAATAATCCTAAATTGAAGTTTGTACTCTCAAGACAAAACTCGAAGAATTTAACAAACATAAAATAGAGTCCTGGGGAGTACTCTATTTTTCACAGAAAGAACTTTCTCCTGCGTGAGGATATCTCAAGTTGATGAAGGGTGCTTGATTTATATAAAACTCAATGCACCCCTGATAAAACAACGTATCTATGAATTAGTGTAAGTTCAAGAGAAATAACCTTTGCATCATCCTGCATGTTGAACAGCAACAGACACAAAGCTAAGGAAACCGACCAGTTGGAGAAACTAGACACACGTCTCTTGGAGAAACTTATTTTTCATTCACTATAGAAATTAAATATTATTAAATAATATAAAATTTCCAACAGCAGCCACCGGTGGAGAATTTTATACCGTGATCCTCTCTTAGGAATACACAGAAGAAATTCTAGAGAAAGAATTCATGTGCGAACGGGATATTATGAAAGAGAGTTTCAAAATAAACAATTTGAGTAA